TCTCATAATCATATGGTGGTTTTGGGACGTTAAACCCCACTTATCAATCAACAGAGCGTGGAAAAGTACACCAGCTTTCTCTGCTAATGGATGTCAGTACAAGAAACATCATTCCAGCTGTCCCTAGGCTAGCTAATTTTCACCTCGAGTACCTTTCGGACTAACTGGTTAGGAGACTAACTTGAAAAAAAGAAAAAAAATGAAGAAAGAAAGGGACCAATAAAAGAACGATACCTCATGACCGCAAACCACGAATGCATGAGCAAAAAAAAAATATTGTCGGTATCAGTACACGGGGGATCCATTAAGAGCCTCATATTGAACACGCCCACTGATAATTTAACCAGCTCCTGCCCCATCCAGGAGGGCAACGTTTCAGACGCTTTCACTTGGTGTTTTCACACTCGCAACGCTTTGGTGCTACATGTGCACACTGGGTTCGTAATAAATTACACATAACGCATAACTTTTCCCAGAGTAAAGCAGCAGTTATTCTATTAGTCCAGCCGATAAACGATGAAGCGATGTAGAACGTCAAGAGTGGATTTTTACAAGACGGGGTAGCTCAGCAACTTTACGTCATTGAGAACTGCTAGTTGATATTTTTTGTCTTTCAGTATTGTATTGGCGAGGTGATACCCTCTACGCTTACACTCTCTCGTGAAGTCATGAAACAATCATGCAATCGAAATGTCAAAGAGACGCAGCTGCGCCACATACATTATTGTATAGTCCCGTCTTCTTAATCAGTAAACCTCTATTCGTAAGGGATTCTCAGATCATTCCAAGAAAATAATCTGCTGTCACACATTACCTGCAAAACGTTCATTTTCGTCACTCTACAACCTTACGCAAGATACGTTACGATGCAAGCTAGGTAGTGGCTAGCTGCCTCCACCCTCTCATAAACGGCACTGTTTCGAAGGCACGTCGCGTAAACTGTTTGCTTGGCTCGTGTCGTTCATCAATTGATATGTGGAGTTTAGCGTCCCTAAAACCACCTTATGATAATATATGAGAGATGCCGTAGTGGAGGGCTCCGGAAATTTCGACCAGCTTGTGCCGTTTAGTCAGCCGTACGTACGTTCCTGCTTGGTACGTTCAGCATGGTCCGTTTGCATGAAGTACGCGAGAAGATCTTGGAAGTCAAGCAGATGTTCTGACAATGCGCAACGATAACCTCCGCGTAGCAAGAAGAAAAAAAAAAGGCAGTTCATTCTCGCCAACCTGCAAGGTATATGGCGTTGACAGGGGACTAAAGAAGCGGTGCGTCTACGACGTCAATTGCGTCATGGTAAGCTTAGGGTAGTACGATGGTTCTGATGATGGTGATGAGGCAACCAGCCGTATTTAATAGGGTGTCAGTGCGACTAGCCAAGTCGCGTTAAATTACAGGTTGCACGACAACTCCATTTCTAGGTAATCGGGAAAGAGCACCGTGTATCTGCCATTTAGGATAATACTGTACTTATAACGACAGCGGGCGGCGCTCGTCAAAATTTTGATGATCTCAGAGACGTGCCTCGGCGCTTTGACGACCCCTGTCGGCGGCGTACCCCTTGCTGCCCTCGATACGGTTTCTTCACCCCTGAAAAGCTCGATGCAGCCAGCGGCGCGCTATGACCGCTCGGAACACTGAGAATGGCGTACGCGTGCTTCGGGTGCAAACACGATATAAGACGGGATATGCCGAGCACAGCGCGTCTATTTTTTTATGTAAGATAGGTGTTCTCGTGCTGTCGTTTCGTACCCTCCGAGCTTTTCTCAGACAACTTCGGATTTTCTCAAAGGCATGCGAGAACAGTTAAATACGCAAGAGCGTTTTTTTTTTAGTTTTTTATGCCTCTCGTGGCAGTATTACGCGGGTGTTTTATACGGATTGCTGCTTTCAGCACAATCGCTTGGTGGGAGCGTAATGCTTGAAGTTTACGAAATGTGCCCTGTGTTCTTGCGGGGCAGTGGGCTGGGACCGACTGCTGGGGGGAGGGGGGGGTGTAGCCATTGCAGTAAACTTCTTCGTTTTTAGTTACGAAAGTTGCCTTCCGGGGCTGCTGAAGAAACGAATTTTTAGGGGAAGGTTAACTATGACATTTTTCTGGTCTACTTGGCATGGATTCATGGTTACAGGCAGCGCATGTTTGAAAAGAAAAAAAGAAAAAAAAGCGAACAACGAAGCAGGAGCGTTTGTGCATTGCGTTTCAATTATATTATGTGCCTGTCAAGTTTGAAATGACTGCCACCGCCTTAAATAATCACAAGTGATCATGATTACACCGTATTGGTATTCGCAATGCGGCATTCCTCATACCAACCTGTAACCATGCACGTCCCCAAGCAGCTGACTCCTTTTCAGCAAACGTTAGTTTCAACCTGGCTCTCCTAAGATGTGTTGAAAAACACTGAACGGCTGTACCTTTGCCCCAACGAAACAGAGTGAATTTCGTGCTTAGAACCAGAAATCGCTGTTGCACCAACACTATCTCGTTTGTGTTGGAGCATATAGTATGCAGCGTGTTTGAGCTCATTTGTGCCCGTTATTTGCAAAAGGAGACCTATAGGTCTCCTTTTTCGTATATATACGCTAGGGTACATCTGTCTAACTGGACCAGTATTGTTAGGAGTCATACACAGCACATCATGGGATTTTTTTTATCTGCACAGCTGGTTTATTAGAAAGATAGCTGATTGAACTTATTAATTAGCAACTTTTGTGAAAAACCACCATAGCGAAACATCCTAACGAAGGATTGCATAGGGAATGCCTGCCTATTACACAATGATTATTGGAATAGTGGGTGCCCTGCAAGTGTGTGCTTGCTATAACGAAGAAGTGTCAAGAAAGTCTCTGAAAGGCCACTCTTCCAGCTGTCGCTGTGACAGTTCTGCGCATTTATCACAGGCCTATAGGTGGCGGTTTTTTATTAGCACACCACCTAGCGAAGCTTGTGGTATGAAACTTCAAGTGTTGTTACGATAACGAAAACTTTTCCATAGGGTTCATTTTCTGCAGTTTATATACAGCCCCGTTATGTTCCGTACTTTTTCCAAACTCACCAGACCCAATTCCATAACGTCTTGTCTGATGCCTTCATTCAAGATGTGCTACGCCCGATATATGCCTAATTACGCTTAGGCAGTAACAGCTGTTGCGAAAGGCTTCATAACCTACCTATTAAACAGAGAATTTCCTGATCATTTTTCCTTTGCACATTTGATGAAATCGCTCTGCTCATTGAATCAGTCCCGGCACATCTGTTGACGAATCAAGAACATCCGCTTATGAAGGTTGCGAGCTGACGAAAGCGTATTTTCTGCCTGAAGCACCTAGGAAAAAAATGACTAAGAGAACTGGAAATCTTTCCAGCGAATCCTGCGTGTGTGGCGACGTATACCATTTACTCGCCACCAAAAACGTTGACTGCTATGGCTGATGGTGATCAGGGAGTGTGTTAGTTGCAGCTCTTATAATTTTTATTAGTGACAAACATTGCCAGCCGGGAGAATGGGTGAAATTACAGCATGGCCAAAGTTCAGAGTTTCCAATCAACCTGATTTCACTGAAGAAGAGAGATATAGTCCGAAAGCAAAGTTTGCGGCAGATTGAACGGAAACGAAGCTTTGCGCGAGGTTTGCATATAGAAGGAACTATAGGCTCGTAAATCCCGGAACCACTGAAAAGCTGCATGTTCACAATCAAGGGAAGATCCTTAGGCTCGCGTGAGGGTGGTGTTTGAGCCACCGTTCAGCGAATAGTCGCTACGCGGGCATATTATCGTGTTTGAGTTTCCAAGCCTTGTACATATACAGGGTGTCCCACATAACTTGAGCCAAGAATTTGAAAGTGAAAGGCACTTAGGAGGCGAATTTAACCAAGCACATACTACTCACACTAGCCCGTAGGTACTCAAGCTATTTTTATTTCTCCCCATACTAATACTTATTAATTTTTAATTAGATATTGTTTTCATTATGGGCTGGAAACTCAAATAATGAACAGTGAGATGTAGAGAGCTTTCAGAAACCACCGACTAAATTGTTTCCTGTACGATACGTCTCGCGCTGTTATTTTTTTTTCCACGCTGTAAAGAAAGCCCGCGAAATGTGAAAAGAAGCCTTGTGATGTACTGCGAGCGCACTGCGATAGTACTATAGGCTTTTTTTACAACGCGTAAAAAATAACAGCGCTAGACTTATCATACAAGAAACAATTTAGTCAGTGGTTTATGAAAGTGCTCTACATCTCAGTGTTCATATTTGGGGTTTCCAGCCCATATTTAAAAAAAGGTAACTAATATTTAATAATTATCAGTATGAAGAGAAATAAAAAATAGCCTGAGTACCTACAGGCTAGTGCGAATAGTATGCGTTTGGTTCAATTCACCATTGAAGTGTCTTTCATTTTTAAATTCTTGGCTCAAGTTATGTGGGACAGCCTGTATACGGTCCTGGTTCAGCTGTACATGAGACGGTAACATTTGAGAGGAAAGCTATGTTGCATCCAACTGACGCGTCAGTGAGTGGGCTTTAGGTGTTGGTTTCTCTGCAGTGAAACCTTCTGTTTAGCTTTTGTTGGTAACAGCGGAGACAACGACACACAGGTATTACTGTGCACCTACCGCCAAACAAGTACAAGTGCGTTTTCACCCTTGTCTTCAGGCAAAGCCATGGTGACCCCAATGCTTCATAACGGCGTCTATTTGACGGAAAATTAGCTGCATGTGACCGGGAGGCATCTTTTTACCGTAGTGATGGCCTATATTGGTTTGGGGACCGAGTATCGACCCACCCTCTACGCGGAGGGTGGCCCTGTTTGTATCAGACCCAGGTAGGCTGATCAAAGACTGAGACGGTCACCGATGAAGCAGGATGCAGCAATGCCTTGCCGGGTTTATTGTCGCCGCTTATATTAGGCATAATCGGTCGGTGCGCACCGGAGTGCGCATCATGAGTCATGCTCAGCATGACCCAGCACGATACATCTCCCATCCTTTTTTTTTTTAACAAGGCGTAAAAAAGAAGTGCAATGCGATAGAAAAAATACAAATTCAACAGTATTCCGCCGGAACTAGCCGCTAAACTATTTGAGCAAAGTTGGGGCCGTATGCTAAACGTCTTGGTTCCTCCCTAATGCGCGCGGATCTTCTAGGTGCCGGCGAAGTCACGCGAGGCGGGCTCTGATGTGGAGGCTCTTCTGCGTCATCATCTCCGACGTCAGTGTCACTGTCGCTGGAGTACGTAAATGGCTCCGAGGTTGCCAGCAGCTGTTGGCGGTTACGCCGCAGCGTTCTCCCCTCTCCTGTTGCGACGTTGTAGGACCTCGGGGCTACTTTTCCCAATACCTTAGCCTTTTGAGACCAAGCCTGGCCTTTCACGCGAACCACGTCTCCCGGTAGGAGTGGTCTCAGCGGTCGTCCAGACGACGTCTGCTGGCGCTTTTTTACAGGACTCTTGGGCTGCAGGTTGAAGTCGGGGATCCTAGTGCGTAGAGGCCTGCCCTGCAGAAGTTCCGCCGGCGACCGGCCATCCTGCAAGAGAGCAGAGCGGTAACCAAGTAACCCAAGCCAAAAATCTTCATGTGTGGTCCCAGTCTTCTTAAGCAGCCGCTTTATAATTTGGACACCCTTTTCTGCTAGCCCGTTGGAACGTGGAAACATTGGGCTCGAAGTTATATGTTTGAAATCGTACCGTCTGGAGAACGTGGCGAATTGGTGACTTGCGAACTGGGGGCCGTTGTCTGTGCAGACTTCCATCGGTATTCCATACCTTGCAAAGATGGCTGCCAGCTTGTCGATAACCGCAGTTGCCGATGTCTCCTCGAGTTTTTCAACTTCTGGAAAATTGGAATAGGCATCAAAAACAGCAAGGTACGTGGCTCCAGCATAACAAAAAAGATCTACGCCCACTCGGTACCAAGGGTGATCAGGAGGGGTTCGTAGCAAGAGGGGCTCGTCCGGTTGTTTGTACGCATAGGTTTTACAGACAGCACAATTCCGTACAACGTCAGCAATGTCAGAGTTCAAACCAGGCCAAAATACTAAACGCCGTGCCCTAGCTTTGCACTTATTTAAACCCAGATGGCCCTCGTGAATGCGGCTTAGGGTTTCTGGACGCAGTTTCTTTGGTATAACTACTTTACAGCCCTTCAGAAGAATTCCGTCGACAACTGAAAGTTCAGAGGCGAACGGCTTGAGTGTTCCTTCGAAGTCTTTGTTTAACGACAAGCTTTCTACTACCGCACGTAGCTCCGGGTCGTTAGATGTTTCCCGAGACAAAAGCTGTTTCGTTCTTTCACTCACTAAAGATGACAAAACGGCCACTGCGTGTACTTGAATGTCGCCAAAATCCACTGTGTCTTCACGCTCTGACGGTGTGGCCCTTGAGAGCATGTCAGCAAGGACCAATTCTTTGCCTGGAACAAACTGTAGAACATAGTCGTATATTAATAAGCGCAGAAAAAATCTTTGAAGTCTTGGGGGCATGTTCCCGATATCTTTGGACGAAATGGCTAGCAACGGTTTGTGATCGGTGTCGATCACAATTTTCCTACCGTACACAAACTGGTGGAACTTCTCGCAACCGTATGCTATACCCATCGCTTCTTTCTCTATTTGAGAATAACGCTTTTCAACGTCGGTCATGGCTCGTGACGCGTAGGCGATAGGACGCCAGCCACTGGAGTGTCGCTGGAGCAGTGCGGCCCCTATGCCATCCTTAGATGCGTCTGCCGTTATCTTTGTCTCTTTCGCGGGGTCGAATATAGCGAGGAGCGGGGCAGTGCGCAGCGCTTCGCAGACTGCGTGCCATTCCTGAGCGTGTTTTTCGGTCCAGTCAAATACGGTGTCCTTCCGTATCAGGCTTCGAAGAAGCTTCGTTCTATCAGCGAGAGTTGGCACATATTTTCCAAAATAGTTTATTACTCCAAGCATACGTTGTACGGCAAGTTTTTCAGTTGGTACGGGCATTTTGCTCAAACAGTCTACAAGAGCTGCATTTGGACGAATTCCTGCTGAGCTGATAACATCGCCCAAGAAAACTATCTTCTGCACTCCAAACTGGCACTTCGCCCTGTTGAATGTTAGCCCTGCGCGTTGGGCTGCGCATAGAGCGGCTTGAAGGCGACTGTCATGCTCTTGCTTGGTTGCTCCCCACACGAGAATGTCATCAATGTACACTCTAACTCCGGGTAAATGGTCAAAAATCTCGCTCAGTGTTTTCTGGAAGACTTCGGGGGCAGATGCAATGCCAAATGGAAGTCTAAGAAATCGGTAGCGCCCGAACGGCGTGGCGAACGTGCATATCTTTGAGGTAGGTTCATCAAGGGGAATTTGGTGAAACCCTGCGTTAGCGTCTAGTCGACTGAAGAAATTCGCACCAGACAGCTCCGCCTCAATGTCTTCGCGTTGTGGCATCTGGTAGTGTTCGCGTTTCAAGCATGCGTTTACGCTTCTTGGATCCATGCATACCCTGAGGCTACCGTCTTTTTTTCTTACAATAACAAGCGGGCTTACCCAATCAGTTGGTTCGTCCACCTTGCAGATGATGTTCGCCTGTTCCATGCGCACCAGCTCTTTCTGTAGGGGTTCCCGTAAGGCCAAAGGAACGCGTCGCGCTGCATGGATCACTGGAACCGCATCGTCATGTAGTACCATACGATATTGCCGCTTCACGCACCCAGTGCCTTCGAAGAGGTGGCTGAATTTCTGCGTCGTTGGGAGAGACCGTTGCGTCATTGGAGTCATCCCTTCAGTGGTTACGAAATCAACCACCCTGGAGACAAGTGCTAGAGATTCAGCCAGTTCGAGACCTAATATACTCTGGCCCCGCTTCACAACGAAGAAATCTGCAAGGCACCGACGCTCGTTGATCGTAATCACCTGAGTTGTCACTCCGTAGTGCATGATAGCGTTTCCGCTATAGGATCGTAAAACGGAATTACTTGCCCTGAGGGGTGGATTCGTTCGGAATCTTTTGTACACTGACAGTGGTAATAAATTGGCTTGGGAACCAGTGTCTACTTTGAATGCAACTTCTTGCTGTCCAACTTGGGCCTTAACAATCCAATCTGTTTTCTGGATTCCGCACACGGTGACGTCCAAGATTGCAAAGTCTTCCTTTTCCTCTTGTACTTCGTCGACCTCATACTTTCTGCAACAAACCGCAAAATGATTTCGGCCTGCGCAGGCGCGGCATATTTTGCCAAAGGCGGGACATTTCCTAGGCTCATGTCTTCGATTGCACTTGCAGCACTGGACAGGAGCTTTCCGGCCTTGGGTGCGATGTAGGTAACGTTTTTCGGTGGCGTCCACTCTTGCTTCGTTACCTTGCCATGCTTCGTTTTGCTTGTTCGCGAGCTCTGCTGCTTTGCAGATTTGTTCGGCCTTCTGGAGCGTCAAGTCCTTCTCGCGTAGCATCTTTTCCCTCAGTTTAGTGTTCCAGGAGCCAAATACGATTTGGTCGCGTATCATCGAGTCAGCAAGCGGACCGAAGTTGCAATACCTTGCTTGCTTGCGCAGGTCTCTTATGAAATGTTCCACTGGTTCAGCTTCATCTTGCGTCCTTGTCCTGAAGACATATCTTTCGTAGACTTCGTTTTGCTGCTCTGCACAGTACTCTTCAAATTTCTTTACCACAGTCTGGTAGTCTTGCTTGTTCTCGCCTTCTGCGAATGTAAAGTTATTGAAGACTTCTAAAGCGTCGTCCCCAGCAGCAGTCAGGAGCCTGGCTGTTCTAGCAGCTTCTGTCAGTCGTGTAGCTGGCTCTGTTGCTTGTAGAAACAATTCGAACTTTTGTTTAAAAAGCTGCCAGTTCTTCTGAACATTTCCTGTCAGGCATAGTCGGTCTGGTGGCTTCAGTAGTTCCATGATTGTCGGCACCGGCGAAGCGATGTGGTAGCATCCGCCGTCAATCCCACTTCTGACACCATGTATCAGACCCAGGTAGGCTGATCAAAGACTGAGACGGTCACCGATGAAGCAGGATGCAGCAATGCCTTGCCGGGTTTATTGTCGCCGCTTATATTAGGCATAATCGGTCGGTGCGCACCGGAGTGCGCATCATGAGTCATGGTCAGCATGACCCAGCACGATACACTGTTCGAATACCAGTGCTACCCTGGAAATCAGCCCCCTTTCCGACTTCTAGGGAGAGGTGCATGATGTAGGGTGAGGTGTTTGGGTAAATTTGTGCTAAGGAACTTTTGAATGCTATTTAATACTATTCTTCACCGAAAAGGTACTATAGGCATATTTATGGGTAATCGCCCCTTTTAAAACCAAAGGTAGACTTACTGTAGCGTTTATGGTGCTGCAGAAGGCAGGCTGGACTAGCCGGTAGTTACGTGCATCGAAAATGAGTAAAAGTGCCCACTCGGTCCGCTCAGATGGTCGATCTTGCGGGACCACACGCTCGGAATGACGCGGATCTTCTCAATCAGAGATCGTTCATACCTAAGTTGCGTTTTAGTACGTTAAATAGAAAATATAGCCACCATGACGGTGGCCAAGATTCCTTTTTAAACTATCCCTGAACGAGCCCCAGATTGTCGACAACGTACATTTCCCAAATAGATGAGGTAGCTGTGAGCATTTGGGCCAAATTTCATAGTTGCGTGCGGCGCATAAAATTCACATAGGGAGCGCAAAGCTGACGTCTTTTTAGGCTTCTCGAATACTGTCAGTAATATCTTTGTCATGATGAATGAAAGTGCTTGCACTTTCATTCATCATGACATAGATATTACCAAAGAAATTACTGGTACTAACTTATCCATTATTATTTTTTGTGGTAGAGTATAGTTATATGGACTATATCATATAACTATATGTTACGCAAGACTCTCAACGACAAGCACAATAAAACATAGAAACAGAGAAGCGCAGACGAATTATACTACCTTCGCCAAGGCACTAGAGGGTTTATTGTTTGTACCTGGGTCACTTACCTTACGGTGCATGGAACTCTGCTTTCTCAGTCCCTCAGTTTGCCCCTCTCTGTCGGCGCAGTTGCCTTCTCTGAAGACAATGATGCGGCGTCATTTGTTTTCAGCGGGTGTGCTGGCCAGGCACACGTGTCACCACGGAAAAATGTTACGTCTTTTTTTTTTCTCTCGAAAGCTTTCATACAGCGGCTTGCGCGGACGTCTTCCTAGGAGTTGCCCATGGAAGCTAAAGAAACAAGCTAAAAGAGAAGGACTGGGCCGGACACGACGACAATTCACAGCTGCATCACGTGCGAGGCGCATCGCTACAGTGAGGAGATGTCCTACGCGGAAGGCGAGCGTGATTTCAGGTTATACTTCAGTCGGTGCGACATAAGAGAACCTGGGCGAAAGAAAATCACCAAAAAAGAGTAGGCCTAAGAGACTCGAGGGCAACAAAACGAAAAAAAATAAAAAGAATCTCATAAGTGTTCAGGGCGAACGTGAGGAAAGAAAGGTGGTATATAGGGGTATGAACATTGGTAAGAAGAGAAAGGGAAGATCGGATGAAAAAAAGGATATGAGAACATTTTCCCCGCTGTCGCCTTCAAAGTTCTTTTTTCTCTTCTTATGTAGGTTTAGGTAGCAACTACTTTGTGTGTTATCACGGCTTTCTTTAGTAAGAGGCCTCGCGTTTTGAATACAGAGCATTTATACGACACGAAGGAGCAACGAATCGCAGAAAAGCAGGATGCCGGAGAAGACATGGACAAAGCGAGTTGGACGGAAACTGAGCCGTATACGTCGAGTCGATGGCGCCTTCATTCTGCGCGTGCGCGCGCACACAGTGTCATAAAGAACTGGCGAACGTTGACCCCGAATTCAAAAGCATTTGGGGAGAGCAAATAAATTGGCAGCACAGAACGGGAGTGTGCCAGGAAGAAATGATGGGTCGAAAAACGCAACAATAGAAAAACTAAGAAAGCTAGTAGTACCTGCAGCAAAGAATTACCAGCAGTATACTCACATGAGTCTCTAAACACCCCAATATCTGCTTCTAAAACCTCGTAATATAACAATTAGTGAAATTGATAATAATTTACACTGTGATGTGGTATGCTCCAAATCCACGCTCCGATATGCACCCTATATTTGGGGGCCCTGCGGTATAATTGTGGTGAGGTGGAGTTTTCAAACCAAAAGTATACGCTAGCGCTTTTGCAATCCGACCGCAAATGAACGAGTCCGTTGGAGCTTTGATCGAACCCCGACGGCATCACCGTGCCATATAGCCATTGAGCTAGCACTCGAAGTAAATGTCAGGAAGGGCTGAGAGCTAGAGAATTAAAACACGTATGGCCCGAGAGTTACCGTGAAACACGCGATACGTGCCCAGGGTTACCTTCTGAACTTAATTTCACAATCGGGATGCTTGTTACGAAGCACAAGCATTGCGGGGCCGGCTTTTGCCACTCAGAGCATGGTAAAGAAAAAAAATTGAAATTGTGGATAGTTTCTTCTATACATACAATGAGGGAATGGCAGCAGCTACGAAGTGACGCGCGGTGTTTCCCATATGAAGTGTCTTTTCGGCAAATGTCTCTATTGTTCGCTGCCCCTGTTTGTGAAGATTTGTCGGTAGCCGACCTTCCTGATATGAAGGCACACTGTCAATTCGACAAGCTGCATCACAGCCATGCACACGTGATTGGGAGGGCAAGAGGTGCCCCCTCCCCCCCAAAATCAAACCTGGCAAAAGAGAAGAGTGGTCAAGGAGTGCTGCAGCAAAACTCCCCCCCCCTCCCCTAATGGAATACCTTGCGCACACCTATGAGCCCTGCTGCTACATTTAGCGTCAAATAGCTCGCAGTATAAATTACCAGCATGTTATGACGTTTTTCTTTTCTTTAAGCTTAAATAGTTTAGATATGGATTTAATTTTACAGGTTTTCAGGCCGCGTAACACTTACGTGGCATATGCCCATGTGGTGTCGCAACCTTTACACTATAGATCCTATAAGCCCGCAAGAGGTGATGGAGGAACTTGATAAGGTTGGTAGAATCGACAAGATTACCTGAGCGGATCACGCGAAGCCTTCACTAGGGTCGCGGTTCATTTGGCCATCGAGTAGCGCAAGTTCAGCGCGTAAAATTTGAGTTGCCCTGACTACGCTGTATGCTTTTGATTCACAAGAGACGTTTGCGTCGTATTTTCTCTCTCTCTCTCTCTTTTGCGCAAAAATTGACATTAATGAAACATAACATTGGGTTTATTGGCACTCCATAACTTGCGACACCACGCTTACAACATGGACTAGGAGAATCGCAGACTAACGCAGCGCTACGTTCGTTTTCTGTTTTCGTCGCCCTTGTCGTTGGCGCTGCGTCGCAAATTAAATAAATGTTTCGTAGTTGATTAGTACTCCACCTTTCGCAGCCTCAGGCTCTGGAAAGGCCTGTTCAAATCCATCGTTACGAACAGGCGCTTTATAAAAGGATGATTGAATCCGGACTTCGTGATGCACTCTCAAATGCACCATGCTAATTTGATATGTTCTTTCTGGGTTGCAGTAGATGGACGAAAGACTCTCAGGGCCCCGGCGCGGTGGTCTAGTGGCTAAGGTACTCGGCTGCTGACCCGCAAGTCACGGGATCGAATCCCGGCTGCGGCAGCTGCATTTCCAATGGAGGTGGAAGTGTTGTAGGCCAGTGTGCTCAGATTTGGGTGCACGTTAAAGAACCCCAGGTGGTCGAAATTTCCGGAGCCCTCCACTACGGTGTCTCTCATAATCATATGGTGGTTTTGGGAAGTTAGACCCCACATATCAATCGAAAGACTCTCAGGCTTGGTGTTTGCTGAAGTTGGGTGGTTCTGCGTATTAGGCCTGATTCTCGCATATCACGTGCACTGTTATTGTGTGTGTGTATAGGAAGCACGCTGCGAGAGGAGGGGTTGTAAGTGTTTGATATTTGTCTGAAGATCTCCATTAGGATTACGCTGCAGAATGCGAGAAGCGCTCAAAAATTGACGGACTGTTTGTAAAAGGAACAACAGTCCTTAATTAGTCTATCTATATGCCTTCCGCATTCCTCGAGGAGATGTGCGTGGTTGAAGAAGCTTCTCTTCATATTTGTACACCTTTATAAAAATATTCGAAGAGATTTGTCTCGTAAATAAAAAGAATTTCCTGTGAGGTATTACATACTGAAACGATGGCCTGATTACGAGGCATGCTCTAGCGACAAACTTCTGATTAAGTTTATCACCTGTCGCATTCATTATGTTTCAACTCCTGCGGTGAACCACAACTTTTTTTTTTCAGTACAACTTGCTCACTTCGCTCAATTGTCTGAGCGTACGTGACCACATACGCTATGATATATGGTGCATATTGAAACCACTCGCTGCTTGTCGCAAGTTCCTATACTGTTGAAAATGAATGGAGGGAGGAAGAAATGAAGTCCTCATGGTACGCTGTTGTTTTGCCGCCATTAGTCTTGCTTGAGAAATCCTAGTACTTGATATAAGCCTATCCTCAAAGCAATCTTCACGTTACGGTTGCATCATGAAAGATATGCATTTCCCAACAAACTGTACGTATAGACCGGGCACATCACATAACGTATTGTGCGAAACCCCATGAGTGGATTGCATGTCGCCCTACACCAGTGCTGCAGCCAGGTGAGGGGGGAGGGGCTTGTGTGTGCAAAATCCTAAAGCAGGATTTGCATGTGTATATATAAGCATACGCATAAAACGCATGCACAAATGAACATATATATAGTATAGTTAACTCCACCTCACCCCCCCCCCACCCCCCCCAAAAAAAAACTCTGGTTATAGTACTACCCTTCACTTACTTACAACATTTGTACATATAATGCTATTTACCTGCGTTATAACTGTCTGCACAGCCTGTCGATAAAGAGGCAAGACGTCAAGTCATATATTAATAAAACATGCGGGCAATATTTGCTGTAAGGAAATGAAATTGTAGGACAGTACTGTTGAAACTCCATTTCTACATTGAATTATAAGGTATCTGGCGCGAGTGCGACTTCTATGGTTCCCTGCATGATAACGTCGATTTTTGTGTAATGTTTTGCGCAGCCTGAGTCGGAGAGGGATGAAGGGGGGTCCACTTGTGCACGTGAAA